CCCCTCCCATCTTTTCCGGTGCTCAAGAAGCCGTGACATGAAGTCATGCTCCTCATACCTTGCAAGCCAAGTACCTCGGATCGGGGGGAAATATGTAGCTTCCCGTGGGCGTGTGGGAATGGAGTGGCTTCTGGGCCCTCTTGATTCTGCCTTGGAACAGTCGCAGCTAATTTTATGCTGCACACACACTGGCTGACTGAGGCGAAAATCCGAAGCGGGTGTTGGGTTCACTGCGCACAAATTGGGTCACACAGCGAGACCCTTCACATGCAACTCGAATCCGAACTCGTAGCTGCAATTAAAAGTCTATTTTTAAGTCACCAGCAAGCCACTAAACCGCAAATAATGTGTGTGATTTTTTATTAATTAGGGGATCTTGAAAATCAATCAGGTGGCTTGCATAATTTGTGGCAGTCTTGAAACCATTTTTGGCTGCCTTTCGCTTTCTGCTATACAATTTTCGTACGTTTGTGTTTTTACTGCCTGGTTCCGCTAATGAAAATGTCGCCAAACTGTAGCAACAACACTTCGCTGATTGCCTTATTTAGGCCTTGTTTGGTGTTCAATAATCGTTGAACAAAACACGAATATCAATGAACCAGTTGCCAAAGCGATTTTGGCCAAACAAAAACGCCCCCAAATAATCGTGTGTGAGCTCACTTTATCCATTTCCATTCATTTTGTACACTCGCGACATGATCTCATTCCAATTGCAGTTGGCTAAGCTTCTAGGAATTTTATATTTCGTTTTATGATATGTGAAGTTTTTTTTATGTCCATTTTAACACTTATTTTGTTCTGCTCTCTGAAGAGCGATAAGAAACGCCATGAGTGTATGTTAATTAAGTTTGTGAAAGCGTTTCAAAAGATAACATTCGTGCCCAGCGAGACTCGCCGATACGTGAGTAGAATTCGGAGTTTAAAGATCAGCTTTCAGTAGCTTCTAAGTGCGACGCAGCTGGAGCTGAACCCATTAGGTGATTTCGTTTCCAGATTGTAGCGGTTTTATTAAAGTTCTGCTACTCGAAAAATAAAACCCTGCGGTCTTTGATAATTCTTTAAGATTGGGTTTAATTACGTATTAAAAATTACAAGGTTTTATTTTGCTGTTATAGCGGAAAATTAAATGATTAAACCACCAGAGTTAGTTTTCTATATAATCCCACCAAGTGGAATATCAATTCCCTAATCCGTCAGTTTAAATCCTTTTATCCCATCCACAGTTTGACACTCACTCTTGACTTGTGACATTTGTGATTTATGCGGTTTTGATTTAAGCACTTCAATCTCGAGTGTGGCTTGTATGTAACTTTTTTTTCTGTTTTTGCATCACCCTCAGAGACAGGAATAAATCATTTGGGGAGTGGGCTGCACTGGGGGATTGGGATTTGTCGTCGCCACATATATATACACCGATATATATATATATATATTATACGCATATATCTCCAGCTCTCCCTCCATTTTGTCTCACGTGCGTAGACAACACACATATATCAATCACTTGGGGAACTCGTATGTGTCACACTTTCTGAGCTGAGCAATGTGAACTGCATGAAATATTCAGAAAGGCGAAAAAGCGAGGAATAATATTACAAGATTAACAGTTTGAAATGCGCTGACTTGAGACCCAACTGATGACTTACATCCTTCCCCACCTTCCATTTCTTTTTTTTTTTTTTTCGGTTTTTACCCCTGTTTCCTGTGCTTTTCTTGTACTTTGTTTTCATTTTGCTTTTTAGGGTGTGAGAAAGACGAGGGCGTTGAATGCAAAATGCACATTTTTAATGACGCCCGCCTGCACTTGAACAGCAACAATAACAGCAACAAAAAAAAAAACGAAAAATAAAACAGGGAAGCGTTGTTGACTTTGGCAACGTCGCAGGATTTTTTTTTGTACATATGGAGGTGTCCCGAAGAGGAACTGCTGCCCTTCGCCTTATGCAAATCGCTTGTTCAATGCAGGAGATGGCTTTGCCAGGGGCAGACCCTCCCCCCTCCTTGCTTTGCCACCCCCTCTTATCCTGCCACTACCCCATTAACCTCGAAATAAGGCCACAGTGCAGAGAGGAAAACACTTAGCTTAAAAGGAAGCTTAAAAGGTTAAATAAAATTCAAAGAAATGCTGAAAAACTATTTTCCAAAAAATAGTTATTTAAACCAAGACACATTTAATATTATTAGATTATTTCTTTGCTAATAAACAAAAAGTTTAATTAAGATCAAAAAGCAAATTCAATTAGTTTTTGGTTTCAACTCCAACCAGTTTCCTTGCCACAAAACTTCACTCTAAAGTATTATAACCAGCTTACTTCAAAGCTTACTTTAAATTGAGTTGTGGTTGTAATTTAATTTTGTCTTCCTGTGTACTTTGTGGTCCCCTTCAGGTTGCCATATGGCAGTAGTTCCTCCTCCAGATCCCCGCACTTGGTTCCATTTCTGCCCGGCGTTCTGTATTCTGTATGTTCTTCTTTTTTTTTCTCTACTGAGCTCGTAACACTTTTCCACATCTTGTGGCTCGTGTGCTCGTACTGGCTGAATGTAATCCGCTTAAGTTCCTCGGAATCGGCACATAAACATCATCATCGGCGTTATGATTGTCATTATTGTTCGGCGGAAAGCGGAATGATCATTTGTCAGTGTTTCTTCAGCGAGTTTCTTGTTCTGCACAAGTTCTACATTCGTCATGCTTTCCACTTTATTACATTTTAACTTTGGCATTTTCCGGTTTGCGTTGTAGTTGTCTGCTTGTGCTTAATACTTCGCCGGCAGCCTCCGTTGGAATGGTTTCCTAATTAGATCTCATAAAACAAACCGAACTTAAACCACAACCAATTGCCAAAGTGGAAATCTGGACAAATTAACTGAGAGGAAAATAAAAACGAGGGGAGAATTTCCCTTATTAGATGAGTCACTTCTTTTGTTGACCCAAGACAGCTTATCCAACTAACTATCTATTTTCGGTGCGGGGTGTCTCTCCCTCCCTCCCATCTGTTTACCAATTTTCCCATTTCCCATTTGCCATTTAGGCAAACATTAAAAGGGCAACCGCCCTCGGCAAATGAAGCCAACTAACCGTGTGACGTGACCGTCTCTATAAGCAATATCTGCAACTATCCCACTCCACTGACTCAGCTCCAGTTTCCATTTAATTCCGCTCCCCTTATCCGTCGTCTAGGGTTACAAACAAAATTTATTAATTTTCCTCAATTGCCACATTCGTTAAATAAAAAAAAAATAATAATAATGTTGCAGTAGGAAACTGCATTTGCATAGTTGGCTTTAGACCATGGGTTCATTTGGTTCACACGATACAGATAACGCGATACGAACAGATACAGATACAGATACACACACTTGAGCCATGGATGTCAAAATCCATTGGATTTGCACCCAAATGACTGACAATGCAATTCATTAGCGGTGCAGTCAGCTAACTGGAAACTCGGCTTGAATGGCACACAGAGCGAATTTGAATAATCGAATCGGTTAACCTTCAATCGATGGAAGAAGTGAGCGGTTGCTTCAAGTGCTTGCCAAACTGTACTGTTTCCCTTTTCATTTTCCCCTCCCCAAGCTCATTATTTCCATCTAACTTTGCCTTCGTTTTTCTCCGCTTTTGCCGCTTCCTTTGGCTCATTATTTCCAACCATCAGCTGCAGTTGCAATTGGCAGCCGGCAGACTATTAAATCAAGGCACGAACTATCGATGAACCCATACTCCCCATACCCCCAATCCCCCTCCTCCTCCTCCGAAAAAAACCCCACCGCCTGTGACTTTAACCCCTTGGGTACGTGCCACATTTGGCTGCAGGCCAGCGAGCCCTGAAGTGCAACAAAAGAATCCCAGAAATGGAAAAACTGTTTGCAAATAAAAAAACTTTTTAATATGCTTGCTTGTTTAGGAGCCATTGGGGTTAAATGGGGTTGGGGGGTTTTAGGGGGTTAAGCAGACAAAAGCTTCGAGTGGCGCCAGGAATTGAAAAGGAAATGAGAGCGCAGGAGTCGTTCGTTCATGTCAAATGAAAATGTTGGCTTAATGTTATCAAAAATTCAAACCAACGGAGGAGTGGAGAGGAGGGGGAAGGGGATTGGTAAACCCACTCTTCAAATCCATCACGTAATCCACGACCACGCCCCCTTAAACCACCCACTGCCATATTTGTTTGGCGCTTTTGCAAATAGTTTGTGCCAACAAAATTGCAAAGGCATCGACAGTCTGTGCACCGCACCGCTTCATGGCATAGCTCCACCACTCCGGTGAACCAGCTGCACCACCCTGAACCAAACCAAACCGAACCACTCTGCCATTATCCAATCCATCCACATTGCTCGAGGCCGGGACATTTGCATATGGTGAAGCGGGGGGACAAAGGGGGAGGCTCTTCACTGACGATAATTGCATGAAATTATAATGCAGCCGTGCTGCAGAGCCTCTAATTCCGCCCGTTGGCGTGTGGGAGGCTCCACTGTGGCACCCACCCACTCACCGAAAAACACACACACATAATCATTCCCCAGTTGTGTGTGGAGAGTGCCACACACGGATCTCTGACACACTATCCCGCTGAACAATCAAGCCAGTTTCGAACTCACAGAGAATGGCTGGGGAAAATTATATTTATTTCCGCTCAGGATTGGCCTGCAATGACTGTAGTTTTTTTGGCCATGAAGTATTTATGGTGGAGTTGGATTGTGTTTTTTTTACTTTCTTTGGAATTAAATCTTTAAAGAACGGGTTATATTACAATAGCCATTTGAAGTTTAAAATGTAAAAAAGCAAGGGGAAGCGTAAACTTTTTTATCTACCAAAAAATAGAATTGGAAATTTGGTTTCTATTACAATATTCTTTTTTGGTAATCTAATAAAGAAGATCATTATTATATCCTTTATTATCTGCGTAGGCTGTTTACAAATAATATATTGAACCTGTCAAAATAAGATGTCTTTCCATCGATTTCGATCCAAACTAACTGATGTGTTCTCTTATCCATTGCAGAACCACCACCGCGGCAGCAACACGAGCGAGGAGCGTGTGCCACAGCCGCACTCGCCCCACGACAGCCACGCCCAACCACACAACGGCGGACTGCGGGGGACGCTGCGCCACTCGATGAACCACTCGAGCAGCTCGACGGTCTCCGGATCCGCGTGCAGCTCCACGCCGGCCTCCCCGCAATTAAGCGGAGTGGTGAGCGCCTCGGGCGGCCAGCTGCTGTCCAACGGACACCACTACCAGTCGCAGTCGTCGGTGAGCTCGAACTCGTCGATCGTCTCGGCCATTCCCGCCTCGCAGAGATTGCTGGAGGAGGCGCTGGCCAAGCCGGCTCCGTACCCCATGATCCTGCTCCCCCTGCACGGCGGCTACTGGCTGGATGGCACCGAACACGAGTGCAGTTACGATGCGCGGGGAAATCCCCTGCTGCCGCAGACCACCTGGATGGCCAAGTTCGAGACGGACGACACGGCCAAGTGCTACCGGCGATTCTACGCGGCCAGGGAGCACTCGAATCTGGTGGGACAGGACGAGCAGTTGGGCCCCATTTTGATCTCGATCAAAACGGAAAACGTGGCCAACCAGGAGCACATGAGGATCCTCATGCGGCTGAGGACTGGCACAATGCACGAGTTGATTCCTGTTTCGTGTTTGCTGCCACAGCCAAGTCCTGCCAAGATGGCGAATCTACTGAACGACCAAATCCAGGTGGAGAACTTCATGCCGGTTTTGTGCCCCAAGGCCTCGCAACTCATCAGTGTTTATGATGAACACGTTCTCGTTTCGCACTTCAAGTTCGGAGTGCTCTACCAAAGATACGGACAGACCACCGAGGAGGAGCTCTTCGGCAACCAGCAAACTTCACCAGCTTTTGATGAGTTCTTGGACGTTTTGGGCCAGAGGATACGACTCAAGGATCACAAGGGTTACAGAGGTGGCCTGGATATACAGAATGGTCATACAGGCGATACTGCAGTCTATGAGGTTTTCAAGGAGCGGGAGATCATGTTCCATGTATCTACTTTATTACCACACACCGAAGGGGATCCACAACAACTTCAGAGGAAGCGTCACATTGGCAACGACATTGTGGCCATTGTTTTCCAGGAGACCAACACCCCGTTTTCGCCTGACATGATTGCCAGTCACTTTCTGCACGCTTTCATCGTGGTTCAACCAATTGAACCAAATACCCCACATACTCGCTATAAGGTCAGCGTTACCGCGCGGGATGATGTGCCCTTCTTTGGTCCTACCCTACCGAATCCCGCTGTTTTCCGCAAGGGTCAGGAGTTCAAGGAGTTCATCCTTACGAAGCTGATCAATGCGGAGAACGCCTGCTACAAGGCCGAGAAGTTCGCGAAGTTGGAGCAACGTACCCGGACCTCCTTGCTACAGAATTTGGTGGAGGAGCTGCGGGAGAAGACTCGCGACTTTCTGGGTGCCGATCTTTCGCAGGCGACGGCAGGAAGTCCCACTCCCGAGACACCGAAGGCGGAAAGTGGTGGTGGTGGGAATGCCGGTTCCCGATTCATCGACACGGTCAAGAAGGCCTTGATTATGAGGGTTCGATCGCAGAGCGTGGACACCGGAAACGGACAGACGGATAAGTTCAGTGTGAACACCAAGCTGGGAACACTGAATGCCAAGAAGGAGGCGCATCCCGAAATGCAGACACCCAATCTGAATGTAAGTTTTCTATATAGAAATTGATTATAAGGAACCCTAACTAATTTATTTTCTTGCTATTTTCACAGACCTGCAGTCGCACCGCCTCGAAGTCCTCATCCAAGTCCAAGTCCTCGAACGAGTCCACCTCCTCCTCCCCGGACATCACCTCTCGCCAGGCGAACAACAACAACAGCGGTTCCAACGGCGCCATCCTGCCCCAAAATGGCACCGGAGTGGGCGTGGTCGCTGCGGCAGTGAGTGCCGCCCAAAATGGCGTTGTGGCTGTGGCCACCATGTCGGAAACCAGCGACGATTCCAGTTTGAACAGCGTGGATCTGGACCCGATGATGGCGCACTTGGATGGCGGAGCCACCTACATCGACAGCGACACCGGACTGGAGAGCATGAGCTCCGCGGAGGCCACCACCAAGGCGTGCTCGCTCTGCCTGGATGGGGTTCAGTCCACCATGATGGGCAGCTCGCCCAGCAACGAGACGATCGTGAAGATCGAGAACCTGCGCCAGGAGGTCACGCGGTTGAAGTGCGACAAGCTCGATCTACTCAGGCAGAATGTGGTGCGTATTAAGACTATTAAAGAAAAACTATTAGGGAACTGTGAGGTCTACTTAGGTATTATCCAATAATGTTATTTGTTTAACGATTAAAAAAAACTACTTGCCTTTAAGTAGACTTTATCCTAAAGCACCCCTACAAAGACTTTTTTTCAAAGGATACTGTAATCCCACTTATTCAATAATTATTGAGTTTTGTATGAATGGATAATACCTAAGACTTTAAAAAGTTCTTTCATTCTATAGATATTTCCATTAAGAACTATACTAATTATAATATTTTACTTTTGCAGACCTGTCAGCGCGACATCAAGCGACTTCGGGAGCGGGAACTCTCCCTGCAGGGCGACCTATCGGCGGCCGGGCGGGAGATCCTGCGGCTGCGGGACCTCCTCAAGGAGTACATGCCCGACACCGCTGCAGCACCCCTCTCCATATCGCCCATCTAAGCGTCAAACGCAAACCTTTGATGACCGATTGGATGAGGCGGTAAGCATAAGGACGAGGAGTAACCACTGTGCCGTGTTTAACACTTTCGGAGGAAGGGATCGCAGGGATCGTTTGGAGGAGAGTTGAATAGCAGACAGTTGGCGTAGCCCCCCTAGAAAAAAAAAACAGAAAAGAAAAGAGCCCCAAACAAAAAGAAAAACTGTATTATATTTAGTTTACGTAGCTGTAGATGCAGATCGCTAGAGATCAGAGACAGGCTGCAGCAGGCATGCGCATGGACAAGTTATTATATATACTACATACGAACAGTTACAAACTAAACTAAACAAAGCGATTAAACAGCAAATGAAAACAGAACACAAAACTCAAAAAAGTACACCAAATATATAGGATATAAGTCTTTAAGCATATTTAACGCAAGAATAACACCTAACACCCCAAAATCATGAGCCCCAAAAATCAATTCCAGAAATCATACCAACTCTAACCTAAGTAGAAAGCGATCAATCACAAAGCATCACACAGAGATCGACATCGATATATATTATGATGATAATCACAAAAACACAAAAACACACTCGTAGCAAAGTTTTGAGGTTTACAAAACCGTTACTCGTTCGTTAGTCGCACCCGTAAACTGTTACTGTTGCCGTGACTGCTACCGTGACTCTCGCCCCACATTTCATCCCCATAATGGAAGCAAACTAAATTATGATCGATATATATATACAAATATGATTTTATTTTTAATCACTCTACGAAAACACACCGCGAAATATAAACCAGATAGAGGGAACTCTTAACCTTAAGTTTAAGTTGCTTTAAATACTTTTACCTAAACTGTATGTTAATTAATTACGTATGTCTTAAGTTCAACCAAACCAACAAAAGCAAGAACCACAACATCAATGAATTGATGACTCACGAATAGAATTTGCATGCCGCATTCAATGTACATATGTGTAGGAGCGACGTTCTATATAATTCTCGATCCGCATCCGGATCTGTCGAAATTAATTATGACTATATTTTGTGTTCTAATCGATTACTGAACAACCAACCAATAACCGACAAATGAGAGCAACGCAATTGAAACCAAGCTAGTAGTATTTGGGAACACAATTCCAAGAGCAAAAGTTACACGCAAGCAAGAATTTTGTCTTTGAAATCTATCCGATAAGTACCGCGAATAATTGTTTTTGTTGAGATGCATTATCATTTTTATTGTGTAAAGTATAAAAATCAAACAAATATATGCAAAATATATGGAATATATAAACAAATGACAATTGCGTTTTTAATGAGTTTTAAGGTGGGTAAAAAAAAACAAGAGTTCCTAAACGGAAATGGCTTGTGGACGTCTTTGACTCCTCGAAACATAAATATTTTCAAATCCTAGACTTAGAATTAGTAAATTTTGGTAAATTTTCAGCAAACCCATTTTAGGAAATTAAAAAAAAAAACCAGCCAAAAAATAAAAAAAATAACTAATGATGCAGTTCATTGCACAAAATGTGCAAGTTCTCTCTCTCTCTTTTTCTCATTTGGAAAATCTTAAGGGAGACACCTCCTATTGCATTCTGTTCGCCTGTTCAAAGTGAGATTTGGTTAAAATGTTGGGCTTGGTCGAACGATTTCAACGAGATAATTTGCGACACTTCGATTTAAAATAACAGAACAACAGAATGCATTCGTTGGCGTTTTTTAGCTGTTTAAATTTTCCATAAAAAATGTGTGGCACACTTTTGGGAATAATTGAAAAATCTTTAAAAAAGAGATTAGCCTCCTCCTAATGCATTCTGTCGGCCTAGTACTTCGAAGTGCGTTTTTACTGAATATTAACTAAACTTAATGTACTTATGTTACTGAAGTCAGCACTTTTGAATTCTACTAAGTGAACGTTATATTTTGAATTAAAAGATGAACCTGGCCATACTCCGAGCCCTAATTTTGGTGGATGACTTTGCTACTTAAGAAAGGTGCTCTCGCTAGGCTGGGCGTACTTGCTTAGCTGGAAATGTGTTTTTTATTACACAGCTAACATTGCTGTTAGACAAAGACACCAACCAAGTTTCTTTAGCTCGATAAATAAGTCGTTGAGGGGTGGAAAAACATCGGGCTATCGAATATTTTTAAAATATTTAAAAAATATATAATATGTACATATATAAAAAAATTTTAATTTTATCAAAATATTCGAAATCTTTAGAGGACTGGAAACGCTGCTCTTTACAGCACGAATATATTTCTAGTGATATACTTCTTACCATGATTTCAATAGATATATTAAAGTTACTTTTTGGTCTAAAAAATATCGCGATTATTGTATTTATTTTTTAAAGAATAAATAAAAACATTGTTTAATGTAAAGTTTCTGTAAACCAACTTAAAATAAAGCGCCTCTAGCGGACGCCGAATCGTTGGTTCAGGTTCAGACTGTTAAAGTTCGTATGGGACTGACGAGCCCGACGAGACCACCTTATACTTATTCTACCATGACTGAACCGAACCCAAGCAAAACCTCGCAAACACGGCCAGTTTTTTAAAACATTTTATTCGAATAGGTCGTGTTGCGGACTAGCCCCAACATTTCGTGCCCAACAAGACTCCCCAAATCGTTGGAGCTCGTTCGCGCGGATAATCTGAAGTTAGCGGCAAATCGAAATACTGCCGAAAAATCGCCATCAACACCTCAGACACACGTAAATTACGAAAAATCAAGCCGCTAATAAAAAGTGTGGAAACAGCTGTGTTTAGCTCATTAAAAGATATTGTTTATAATCCACGAGATGCCAGAAGGCTGCTAAATATATTTGCTGTGGGTGTTGTGTTATTTTTGCAAGCCTCCTTTGCCCCCCTGTGTTTTTGCAAAAGGGGCGTGGGAATTTTAGCGTGCGTGTGTTGGTGTTTTGTGTATAACATGGATATAAAAGAATTTCACAGATAAATCCTTCTGCAACGAAATTAAGTGTTGAATATAATAACTTGACAGATTCGGTGAAAAAAGTAGAGAAAGGTGAAGGAAAAGTCGGAGAGGCAAGGATATCGTATTAGTCATCGCTGGCAGCGGCGTCGGCTGCGCAGTCGGCAGCGCATCCTGACCGTCTGTGCGTGTGTACGTGTGTATGTGCCTCTATTTTTGTACTTCTGCCGGTTTTCGCACAAAACCAAAAAAAGGGAGACCCAAACAACAACAACTTGTTTGTTTCCTTTATCCCTCTTCCTGAAGGAGAGGAAAAGAGAGCAGGATGGAGCGGAAATTTACGCGCGGGTTAAATAAGCTCGGCTCAGCAGTGCAGATGAGAGAGAATGTCTCTCAGCTGGTGCGAGAGAGCGCTGTTTTGGTAAGTTCTAAATTCCCTTATTACACCTGTTATATCCATCTCGCTCACTCTCCCCTGTTTTCACTATTTTATTTTTGGCTTTCAGAAGTGCAGTTGTTGCTTATCGTATATGTGTGGGTGTGTCTCCAGTAATGCATGTCACCTTTTGTTTTGTTTACCTTCCTTTTTTTTGTATTTTCTGTCGTGACGCGTGGGACATTTATATGTAAGCATTATAAATGAAAGAAAAATTATATAGAATTTGTCTGAATGCTAATGACTTTCCGTGTTTGTTTCATTCGACGAAATTTCCCACTCTAAAACACACATTTTCTTCTATTGCAACACACTCTTGAAAAACATTTGTGGTCAAGATATGGATAGCATTGGATTTAAAATAACATGCAGATGAATAAAACTTGAATAAGAAATGGTCATAATTTTTAAACTTAAAAAATATTTTTTTCTTAGTTTTAATATTAATATACGTAATAATAATTTTTTTGTTTACCGTCGAATTTATAAAGATTTTTAAGATCTTTGTTATTTAAGACCTCAAATTAATTAAAATAAAACAAAATACATTTATCAACTATGTTGCCTTAACTATGGCTTTCCGTTTACATTCAAATGTAGTTCTTGTTCCGACCACCGCTGTACATACATATGTATGTATGTACATATGAATGATTTTGTTTGCGGTTGGCTCACATCCAAATGCTTTGAATTTTAATAATATTTTCTTTTCACTTAGCACATATCATTGAGATCATAATGTTTTATAAGCAAAGTAGTATTTCATCCATCAGTAGTTGCATAAGCAGAGTCAACATTAACATGTGCTGAGGAAAGGGAAAACTTGTTCTTTATCTCATCGGAATTCTTTACCTAGATGTTGTTGTAAATGAGAGTCCCAAGAGTCTGGATTTCAGTTGGGTTAAGAAGAGAGATCAGAAGAGAGAAGCATCCGTCAAGGCCGTGAGAATTCGGATTCCACCACAGCTTCCACTTTTGTTTATATCCATGTTGAAAGATAATGACTTTAACTTGTAGAATGACTACATACAAAATATAAATTATTCAGGCTTAAGTGGTTTGATTGCATTATCAAAAACGTGTTGTATCTAAACAAAATGATATTTTCCATTACATACATAAATATTTACAATTTAAAAAATTACTTTATTTGTCTATACCTTTTTTAGATGTTCCTCTGTAAACAATTTAAACAAGCTGGAGCTCTCTGGGTGTGACTTCATTTTTTGGGGGCTTCGCCCACGTGTTGCCACCAAAAATTGACAGATATATGGGGTCTCCCTCTGTTGATAATACCCACTAATTGCATTATTACGGCACCAAACGAAAATCATATTAGAGCGCCATTAGCCACGCTTCCAATGTCAATTAGATTGTGTGTGGTTCTTGCTGCTCCCCTCTCCCTCGCACTCCTAATTCAATTAGTGCGTAAAGTGAGAGTCGAAGCCAAAATGATAAGCAATTGTTGACTTACAGCAGCAATCAACAGGCCAACAGGCAATCAAGCCATAATAAGCAACTGTCGATAGATACGAGCAGATAACTTCAACGCCAATAAAAAGAAGAGTGGTTCGGCGGTTGAGTGGGTTGACTGGGTTGCAATGAGTCGTCATCCTCTTTCAACCTGTCATGGAGCTTGCACATCCAATATGGCAGCCTTTTTATGAAAATTTCTCCCCCTCGTCCACACTAATTAAAAATGTCGTTGGTAAGCCAACATTTTTTTTGGGGTTAGAGTAGTTCAGTGGGTCAAAATATTGGAGTTCCATTTCCAAAAACACTAGTTCATTAAGTGAGGTTGTAACATTGTGTCTTTTGGTTAATTTTTATGTCGTGCTTTCTGTTTACAAATGGAATTTTGTTTATGTGTTTTCGCCTTGTTTGTTTAAATACTTGTTAACTTATTGCAGCGCACATGTGCCGCATTTGGTTATCCGATACCAAAGTAAATATCAAACGTGTGGTTTGAGTTAAAAAAAAAAAAGGTGGGGACTGTGAAAGGGAATCTAAAAGGGGCGGAAAGTAATGGATAAGGTCTGGATGCGATGGAATTTTTAAGCATCAGCAAATCGCGACTTAAATACTTGAAGAAACAATACGGTATTTACATAAGTTAATCTGTTGAAGGAAACTTAACAAACTGTTTTAGCTGCAAGCTGTTGACTAACGCAAACCCAAGGCCCTTTAGTAACCAACTATTTTAATTTATATCATTAGAAAGTCAACAAAAAACACACTTACCAGCCTTGACTTTTATTTTTATATCCGGCGTTTTATTGCAGCTGCAAAAAAGTTTGTATTCAATTGCCCAGTATAAATTTCACACAGTCTGATCCCTAAAAAAAAACCCGGATGATTTATGAGAATGAATTGGCTTTTTTGTATTCCAATTCGGGAAGAATTTCAAGGCAGTTTCTACCTTTTATGTCATGACCTCATCTTCCAATTATGCTGCGCACCTCCAAACAAAAAATACACACAATATTCTTAAGAGGTTCCTTATATGTTGAAGAAAACAAAACCAAATCTCGCACAATAGAATTAACTGTAGTTGAGATGTGTCAAAATCCGAGCTGGATATCGAGCTCAATTCGATTTGTAAGATTTATTGGGCCGATTAATCAGTATTACTGTAATTAAAATTAGATTTTTGTCCCAATTGTTAGATTACTTACAATTTTACCTTTACTGTCACAACTTTGAAGCAGCTTTCTGGGAATTTCCTCTGTTTAATGTTATTTTTATCGCTTTTGAAAGCTTCACGTGCAAAGTGTCCAAAAAAATGGGGTAGGAGGAAAATTTGTAGTAGGAAGTGGAGTAGGTAAAATGGTCATGGCTCAAGTGCGCTTGCTTTTCAACTGTCATTACCCATTATCTTTTTAACAGGCCGGGTATTTAACCTTTTCGAAATAGTGGGATTTCGGCATATATTTTTGTGCACCAGTTTGTTTCGCAACTTATTTAAAATCTGAATAAAATGTTTATATTATTGTGCATGTCTGTAAAATTGCTGTATTAAATGAATATCTAAGTGTTTTATGTTTAATTTATAGAAACTAAGAATATTGTATTTAACTTCAAAATGTTATGTTTATAATTATAACATTTTAATATTAATCATTCACATAACCATGTTCCAGGTGATTACTCAGTCGTACCCCCATTTAATTTAACTCTATTTAATTTTTTTGCTTTTATTGTTACTAGCTTGCTCTTTTTGCGCATCTCCTCTTTATTGTTTATTTTCTCTATTCCGAGATTCTATTCTGTGTGTCGGTCACCGTTTTTTCCGCCCCATTCCGCGGCGGAAATATCGTTTCGCAACTTTTGTTTTTTGTTTGAGCTTTTCCCCAAGTTGACGTGAATTGTCTGCAATTTAATGAGCGCCACTCTGCTCCGATTTTGTTTGTTCGGCGGGCGTGTTCAACATATCATGGTCATCTAACCATATCCCTCATCCGATCAACCTTTGGCTATTAATAACAGAGCTTGTTATACTGACCCAAACATTTCCCCCCTCTTTTTCTATATCATTTTAGATGAACTGCACTGGCCGCTATCAGCGTAGCCTCTCCATTGCGGTAAAAATATACATTTCACGATAAAATACTTACATATACTGAAAGATGTGTTTTATGGAGACCACAAGTTGTAAAATGTTTTTCATAAATCATTGCAGATTTTGTAACTATTTATTGGGTGTTTCAAAATGTTTCTAATGATTCTGTTGATGATTCTTATATTTTTGGAAGTCCTTAAGTTTATTTAAAAACTTTAAGGGTATTACAACATAATTTTACCCCATATGGGAACTTTAAAACATTTTCTTATTGATAAAAAGTTTACAGAATGTTGTTATTATTATGCTTTTGATATGAATTGCTTATTTGTTCATTACTAATTTGGAGCAATGCCAGTATATTAATATGCGTGCCTTTGCACCGCCATCAACAATAACAACAATCGGTGACCTCAATACGTCCTCGCTCGTTTTCCATTTTCCGAGCCTGGCTGCGACAAACTTTTATCGATTCTCCGATCTGACCTTGACCCTTCTCCGGCTTTTCCGACCTCCTCACAACGCATCTGCTCGACTTTTCATTTTCTCGTTGTTTTTGATGGCACACCTTTTTACGGCCGGCCACGTGATTAATTTTAATATGTCATGAGGATTTTAATTTGATTTAGCTTGAGAGATAAACTTTCTTTTATAAAAATTTTCTCTGCCGGTCAAACTAGGAAGAAGCTGCCGGGCAATTAAAACTGTAATGAGCGACGACGATGATGCTAACTTTTTATGTTTATCGGCGCGACAGTCGTGTAAATATTGACATTGAAATCGTGCCTCGCCAGAACCTGAACTGAACCTGAACCTGAATCTGAACCTGAAGCTGTACTTGTTGCTGGTACCTGAAACCGAATACCGAATACCGAACTCGAACCCCTACATCAAAAATAACGCATTGCTATTAAACAGGTCTCGAGTGGGAATGAGTCGCATTTTCCAGTTTTTCACTCGCATCGGCAGGTGCAATCAAGCGGTTAAAAGTACTATCCTCATAAAGTTTGTCGTCCTAGCACATAAAAAATGAAATTGAGTTGGCGATCCTTCTGCTATAACATTTACAAATCGGTACAAATATTATGGCTCATTTTATACTGAGCATTACTTGCAACCATAATATACTGTAGCAAATGTTACATTTTTATACCCTTGCAGAGCAAAAGGGTATTATAATTTCAGTCAGAAGTTTGCAACGCAGTGAAGGAGACACCTCAGACCCCATAAAGTATATATATTCTTGATCAGCATCACGAGCAGAATCGAAATATGTATGTACGTCTGTCCGTCTGTCCGTCTGTCCGTCTGTCCGTCTGTCCGTCTGTCTGTCTGTCTGTCTGTCTGTCTGTCCGTCTGTCCGTCTGTCCTCCTGTCGGTTTCTATGTAAACTAGTCTCTCAGTTTTAAAGCTATCTCGCTGAAAC